TTTAAATTAATCACTTTTTATGTGTTCCTTAAATCATAGACTAAGGATTGTAGGTATAAGTGATCAAATAAGTTAAAATTCATATTATCTATTTACTAATCTTAAGGCTTTAAGTATAGACAAAATAACTAAGCTGTGTAAGTGAATGCATGTGAGTTGCAAATCAAGTAAATAAGTTTTATTTTGATTTGAAATAAATTATAAGTTTGTAACTAATATAACTTATCACTAATCATTGATTCATTGTAATTTATAAGTTTGTAACTAATATTACTTATTATTAATCATTGTAAATTATAAATTCATTGTAACTACTAACTAAATTAGTTTAAATTAATTACTTTTTATGTGTTTCTTAAATCATAGACCAAGGATTTTAGGTATAAGTGATCAAATAAATGCCAATTAAACCACAAAATGATTTGAACATAAGTAATGTGTTCAATTATGAATAAATTTGGGGATCAAATCAGTAATAATTTTTAAATCATTGAGGAGCATAATGAATGTATTATAATTTAGGAGCCCCAATTTATAAATTAAAAATTACAAAATCACTTCATTTGGGAAGAGTCGGATTTCATCTTCAGCTGATGACAAGTGAGAAAACAACCATTGCAAATTTGCAATATTGCATGGTGCCGTGACTGCCGTCACCTAGGGCTTTCACAGCACTAACACTCCCAAGTCCCAATTCCCAAATCGAAGCTGCTCTCGCCTCTCCGGCCTCCGCCAGTCCGCCGCGCTCTACGCCTCCTGTCGGCTGTGTCCTGCCGTGCTGGTTCATCGCTGCCGAGTGTCGAAGACGAAGCACCAAGATCTCACTGGTTCATCGCTGGTTCATCACTGCTCATCTCTGGCTCGCTTAGGTAAGTGCTCCTCTGTTTTTGGCTCTGTGTATCTGGCATTAAAATGGGCCAAGATCGACTAGGAAATTTGTTATCCTGAATTGATAAGGGGACGAAATCTGAGCTTCGAATTGCAAACTCTAACTGTTGTAGTAGTTTAGATTAGGTGTGATATAACATAAGCTTTGTATTTTATACACAAGAAAGCTCTCTCCAGTTGTGCAGCCTTTAAAAGTTAAGGCCTTGGGGAAAAATTCCACCTTTTACCCGTTAGAAAAATTAAAAAGGAAAAAACTTGCTAAAATGAAAATTTTACCTCCTTGTCCGTGGAGATTCTCAATCTCTGGTGCACATCTAGTGAAAGTACGGCTCCAGAAGTTGTACCTAGGATTCTGGATATGAATTTTCTGCAATGTGTAAAAGAAGAAACATCTATGTATAAATAAGCAGAAAGGTCACCTTAATAAGCTCAATAATAGTAATCAGCTCCTGAATAAGTAATGGAAAGCATTGGAGCAAGTCTAGAACATATCGAAGAGAGCAATTTAGCTTTTATAACTACAAACCAGTAGAAGGCCTACATATGTCTAGCTTCTTTACATATTTTCAGTCTAATATTTGTAGCTTTCTCATGGCTTGCGGGGTTGGTAGTTGCTGAACTATAAAGATTGGTTTTATATATTCTCTTAATTTGCTTCAGGGTTTTTTTTTACATAATAGATGAATTCGGTTGGACCGAATTCATTACCGTTTTCGAATTTGAAATCGGGTACCGCATGAATTCGGTAATGCCCAATTTGAAATTGAAAACGGTTTAGATTTCTATAGGTGCAATAACCGAAAAAACCGAATTCAGCGCACCGATTTACCGCATTTGCACCGAATGCTCACCCCTAATTATTCCTACGCCCAAGATTCCCTCCTAGGACTTTATGAAGTGGCAATACCCTGTGATTTCATGATAAGGCGAAGCAAACAGTTAACCGTTAGACGGTTTAACGGACGGTTAGTTAAATAACAGAAACTCCAATCTCTCTTTGGTACCGCCATAGAGTTATTAAACCCGATCTGAAAAAGGAACCGACGAAGAAGATGTGTCAACAGGTCATTAGTTCAACTAGTGGGTGAGTAGTTGAATCAGCAGGTCACTAATTATATTTAAATATTATGTTTCATAATTTTTGGTATAAGATATATGATATGAACTATAACAAATAATGCCATAGCAAATGCTCATTTAATTTAATTTGATATAGAATAATTAATTCATATAAGAATCAGCAAAACATAAATTTATTTAGTAATCCACCAAACTTCAAGTGTAAAATTTTATCTGCGTTTAGTGTAATTATCTAGCTTATTTACGAAATTTAAGTGCAAAAATTTATTAAAAACAATATTTGTCTTTAAAATGAATAATGTAATATGTTATTTTTGAAATCCATTTTATAACTTATAGAGTTTGGAGGGTCATAAATTAAAAGATTCCAAATAAAATTTTTTTGAAAAAAAAAAGAATAAAGATGAAATTGACAAAACATTCATATATTATAAGAAATCTACTCAACTAATGTATGGCAAGCGCGTCCGATGGTGAGCATCAGAAGAGTTGGGGGGCTGGTGGTGGCCGGCGGCGAAGGTGGTAGTGGGTTGAGGTGGGGGAGGAAGAAGAAGAAAGGAGGAAGGGAAATTATTTTTGCGTGTTTTGGGTATTTTAAAATGTGTAGTTTAAAATTTTAGAGAAATTTTTTTAGGTTACTGTAGTTAAAGTTGTTAAAAAACTGGTAAGAGACAAATTTAGTCAAAAACTCATTTGCCAAATAAGCCCCAGTTCGTAGACAAAATTGACGGGATTTCCTGTTTTAATCTGGTTGAACAGTCGGATTATTGATCGGTTAACATGTTCTATATTTAAACGATCTAATTAGAAATTTAACCCAATCCAATGGTCGGTTCACCAGATTGATCGGATTGATCGCTGGGTCGGGTCGGATTTAATAACTATAGTACCACACCTAAAAGCAATCCAAAAGAAAAAAAAAAAAGGAAAAACCCAAAAATCCCAGGCTAATTGATTAGAATATTGGTGTATAAAAGAAAAGTCAGACACTTGCGGGTCTGACAGGGGCATCGTATAAATCTATGGGTGCCGGGCCGTGTCAGCCCGGCACCTGACACCAAAAAAATATTGCACTTAAACATTCCTAACAAATAGATAAACAAATAAGTCATATTAAACAAAATAAACAAAGAAACAAAATAAACAAAACAGTAAACAAAGAAAGAGAAGTAAACTTAATACATAATCCTAGGTCACATATCAAGTTTAAATTAATTCCTAAATTAAAGTCAAACTAATTAAAACTTAATTTGAGTAATTGAGAAGGCAAATAAACCTAACTTTGAATTCTCTAAACAAGGGATCATATGGAAACATTTAAATTAAAGTTCCAACTTCAACTAATAAAGTTTCAGAAACTAGGGGTCAAAATTAACAAGAAAGGGAAAGTTGAAGGAATTGACTGCAATTTTGAAATTTGTCTTCCTATAAAACGAATTTAATTGCTATGCCTCTGTTTCTTCTCTGCTCAAGTTCGCCAATGTTGGACCACAGCCTCCTCTCTCTCACGTATGGGCACACACTCACATAATGGCCCCAGAATAAGGTCAAATTTTGGGTAAAAGATAGAAAGGTAAAAACATATACAACTGTCACATTTGTTGCTTATGATACAAAAGTAAAAATCAAGATACTGAGCATGTCGAATTAAATCAAACTTGAATAAGCATCTATTGTTTCCTTAATCTCAATAAGTAATTTCATCAATTGAGCTAATATAATCAATTAAGTAATTCAAAGCACGTGCAAGAAAAGATGGCGTCAATAGACTCAGAGATCTCAAGAAGATTATATTTGCTGAAAAAAGGGAAATAAAGCGACTCACACAAGGTTCAGAGAAGTTAAAGGAAAATGTAATTTGGTTTTACAGTATTTGCAAGTTATGCATCTTCCCCAATTTAGTTCCTTTGTTTAGATTAGTCATGCAATATTTGTCTTGAATATATTTATGTGATTAACTAGGCTACCGAGCTTCAGAACAAGATAGAAAATGAAAGAGGTAAAAGGTTGAGAATCAAAAAGTCAAAAGTTGACAGAAATCAGTCCTTAAGTTCATGAAACAACCAAAATAGATGTGAGGTTCTATGGATATGTATATCTCAGTTAACTAAAACTGCTTATTCGACGGGACATGAAAAAAAAAAAGGGACTAGATCAATCACCACGAAGTTCAAAGCAAAACAGGTGAGAAAACAACAAGGCTGAAGAATGGATTGAGGATTCAGAAGGACAAATAACATCTTAATGCAGAGAAATAATCATGCATAACTACCTTCAAAGAGATTTAGCAGAAGGCGTTTATTGTTCAGGAGACTTATCTAACAATACTCAGACCATTAAACTTAAGTACATATGTTTTTCCATTCAAAAGTGTTTAATGCAGACTCGCAGAGGTATTACCCTTATTTCTTGCATTCCTCTTTCTGGCATCGGCTATAATCAACCTATCAGAATGGGTTTTTTAATAGCAATAGCCCAGGGATTATCCAAAGCTGACTCCCCTAAAGCTTGATGGCAACTCAATATATTAGCAAAGGTGGGATCCACCAAAATGGATCTCCATTTCCCATATTCAGTTGAGGCATTTTAACAAACAGGTTATGAGCATATGCCCCAAAACTTAAAACCCAAGTTGCAGTCTTCCAACTTCAATGGGGCAGTTAAGAACAAAATCGTAAACAAATTTCAGCACATTTATAAATTGCACATAAATTTTTTAGAGCTTTCAGATTAGATGTAGAAATTATGTAAGAAGAAACATACAAAATTATTCCGCCGCAGAAGATCAACTGAGTGGTGGCGTGATCAGTTCTGGTGACCGCTGTGGAGCCCTCTTTTCCTCCTCCCCTTTTATTCTTGATTTGATCTATTTTTCTCCTCTTTTTTCCCCCTTTTTTGTTGGGATTTTGGCTAATTGATTAGAATATAGGTGAAAAAAAAAATATTCAGACACTTGCGGGTCTGACAGGGGTTCTGTATATATCTATGTCAGCCCGGCACTTGACACAAAAATATTTTTTTTTTAATAAAAGACACATGGACACAGCCCGGCACCTGACAAAGACTGCAAAAGCTGGCTGCCGGGCACTCTCTGCCCGGCAGCCAGTCAAAGGGGAGTCAGTACTTGTTTTGCAGCTTCAAGGAGAGACACTCCACTAGGCCTTGTATCTTTTCCCAAGAAAACCTCTGCTGCCCATTCTCCATCAAGTGCAATTTTTTCCTTCTTAACAAAATCATCTAAAATCTGTTTCAAAGAAAATGTAAATGCTCATCTTTTGTACCTGATAATAAGTAAAATTATGACTGAAACAAAAAAACCTGAGATGACACCTAACTCAGATATAAATATAATAGCGCATGGCAACTAGGTGCAGAATAAGTTTTAAACTAGTAGCGTATGTTGATTTAAGATGTGTGATAAACGCTGCTGTTAGTCTAAATCTCTTATACCAGCTACAAACACACCATAATAAGCACCATTACATATCACAGATTCTTTCCCTACCCAAACCTAAGGTCTAATCATAATCCAAAAAGTACCTATACTGTCCATACAAACTAGATTGAGAAAGGAATTAAATCAATGAATTTTGCCAAAATCAGGTCCAGATGGATAGCAAAAAGAAATTACCAAAAAAAAAAGTGAAGAGAACATGGTGGATTGCCAATCAATTACAACTTTTGAACTACATATTCTAGAGGCATATATTAACGAATTTGACAAAATGAACCTTAGCTTGTTAGTGCTACATTTTACACCTTTTCGCATGCATTTACTGAATTTAGTAAATAAATGAACAACACAATCACTTCTTTCTTATTCATTAGATAGGCAGCAAAACATGACGTTTCCCCAATTCTCCTAAGAATTAAGGAAGTGCATAAATAAGAGAATAACCAGCTCAAATGAGACATCACCTCAACCAGGGTATAGGAATCAGGTGCATTAGCAAGTGACTCAGCAAATGGTTCCCAATCCTGAGTCAACATTCCACCACTAGGGTCTGCTACTTTGATTCCATTATCGGAAATTTCATTGTGTGATGCGGTGATCATAAGTCCAATGACTGCCCTGGTTTTGAGTGATCTCAGCGCTGCCAATAATCCAACTCTGTACACTGCTGATTCTAGCAATGATGCATCGGCTCTGAACCCCGATGTTCCGTATGATAGCTTCACGCCTTGTGGAGGCGAGAAGTGAGATGAGATGTCGAGGAGAATAGATCGCTGTTTATCATTCATCTTTCTCTTATTTCTTTTGCTTTGAAGATTACAGAGAAATTCTTTGGACTTGAAGTTTAAACCTCAGAAACTGCTAAACCTCAGCCAGCTTTTGCAGTCTTTGTCAGGTGCCGAGCTGTATCCATGTGTCTTTTATAAAAAAAAAAAAAATATTTTGTGTCAGGTGCCGGGCTCTGACATAGATATATACAGAACCCTGTCAGACCCACAAGTGTCTGAATATTTTTTTTCCACCTATATTCTAATCAATTAGCCAAAATCCCAAAGGAAAAAGCAACAAAAAAGGGGGAAAAAAAGAGGAGAAAGATAGATCAAATCAAGAACAAAAGGGGAGGAGGAAAAGAGGGCTCCACAGCGGTCACCAGAACTGATCACGCCACCACTCAGTTGATCTTCTGCGGCGGAATAATTTTGTACGTTTCTTCTTACATAATTTCTACATCTAATCTGAAAGCTCTAAAAAATTTATGTGCAATTTATAAATGTGCTGAAATTTGTTTACGATTTTGTTCTTAACTGCCCCATTGAAGTTGGAAGACTGCAACTTGGGTTTTAAGTTTTGGGGCATATGCCCATAACCTGTTTGTTAAAATGCCTCAACTGAATATGGGAAATGGAGATCCATTTTGGTGGATCCCACCTTTGCTAATATATTGAGTTGCCATCAAGCTTTAGGGGAGTCAGCTTTGGATAATCCCTGGGCTATTGCTATTAAAAAACCCATTCTGATAGGTTGATTATAGCCGATGCCAGAAAGAGGAATGCAAGAAATAAGGGTAATACCTCTGCGAGTCTGCATTAAACACTTTTGAATGGAAAAACATATGTACTTAAGTTTAATGGTCTGAGTATTGTTAGATAAGTCTCCTGAACAATAAACGCCTTCTGTTCAATCTCTTTGAAGGTAGTTATGCATGATTATTTCTCTGCATTAAGATGTTATTTGTCCTTCTGAATCCTCAATCCATTCTTCAGCCTTGTTGTTGTTTTCTCACCTGTTTTGCTTTGAACTTCGTGGTGATTGATCTAGTCCCTTTTTTTTTTCATGTCCCGTCGAATAAGCAGTTTTAGTTAACTGAGATATGCATATCCATAGAACCTCACATCTATTTTGGTTGTTTCATGAACTTAAGGACTGATTTCTGTCAACTTTTGACTTTTTGATTCTCAACCTTTTACCTCTTTCATTTTCTATCTTGTTCTGAAGCTCGGTAGCCTAGTTAATCGCATAAATATATTCAAGACAAATATTGCATGACTAATCCAAACAAAGGAACTAAATTGGGGAAGATGCATAACTTGCAAATACTGTAAAACCAAATTACATTTTCCTTTAACTTCTCTGAACCTTGTGTGAGTCGCTTTATTTCCCTTTTTTCAGCAAATATAATCTTCTTGAGATCTCTGAGTCTATTGACGCCATCTTTTCTTGCACGTGCTTTGAATTACTTAATTGATTATATTAGCTCAATTGATGAAATTACTTGTTGAGATTAAGGAAACAATAGATGCTTATTCAAGTTTGATTTAATTCGACATGCTCAGTATTTTGATTTTTACTTTTGTATCATAAGCAGCAAATGTGACAGTTGTGTATGTTTTTACCTTTCTATCTTTTACCCAAAATTTGACCTTATTCTGGGGCCATTATGTGAGTGTGTGCCCATACGTGAGAGAGAGGAGGCTGTGGTCCAACATTGGCGAACTTGAGCAGAGAAGAAACAGAGGCATAGCAATTAAATTCGTTTTATAGGAAGACAAATTTCAAAATTGCAGTCAATTCCTTCAACTTTCCCTTTCTTGTTAATTTTGACCCCTAGTTTCTGAAACTTTATTAGTTGAAGTTGGAACTTTAATTTAAATGTTTCCATATGATCCCTTGTTTAGAGAATTCAAAGTTAGGTTTATTTGCTTTCTCAATTACTCAAATTAAGTTTTAATTAGTTTGACTTTAATTTAGGAATTAATTTAAACTTGATATGTGACATAGGATTATGTATTAAGTTTACTTCTCTTTCTTTGTTTACTGTTTTGTTTATTTTGTGGAATATGATTCTGGGTGTCGAGAGTGCGCCATTTCACCGCTTTTCCAGCAGAAGCTTGTACTTAGGTACTTTGACTTATTTGTTTATCTATTTGTTAGGAATGTTTAAGTGCAATATTTTCCTTTATGTTTATCATATGCATGTTACTTTCATAGCTTAAGTTATCTCATTTTTGGCCATAAAACTGGAAAAGCAACACCTAGACTAGCAGTTGTTTGCAGTGAGTGTGGGAGGTTCTCAAGGCTGACACCTTGATCTTCCTCACCATTGAGCTCATAAACTCATTTTGTCTTGTTTCCAAAGGACCAGGTAAAAGGATCTAGTTTTATCAATTCATAAAAAATTTATTTTCTACAAATTGTTTAGGTGACTTCGTACTCTGAGAATTTAATATCGAGTTGCCACTCCTAGTTTTTGGTAACCCTTGCCTAGACTATTGGTGAGCCTATTCACCATCCCATTTGCCAAGTCTTTTTTTAGGCTATTTCTTTTTTCTCTTTTATTTATTTAAAAATAAAATTTCCTGAAAAAAAAAAATCTTTATTTTGGTTTCGTTTTGTTGCTCTACATTTGTACTTTTGCTAATATAGTAGCTTCATATAGTCCTCTATGTACATTAAAATGCTTTTCTTGTTTTGCCTCCATTTTGTATCTGCATGGATAGAGTTTACTGCTTATGTGGTGAAACTTAGTGTTCTTGTAGCTGCATGTAGTCCTTTCGTAAGTCCAATATGTTCACTCTGTGTTAGCTCTACTTTAGTAGGTGTATGTGTATAGCCTGCTGTGTATGAGATGAAAGTTTGGATTGTGGTAAAGGTTTTGAAATTTCGTGTTAAGTTTTTGTACGTGTATTGTTTTTTGCATTAGGCAACCACCGTTTGTTTTTTTTTTTATGTTCTTTTGGTTAGTCAATTGTGATCCTGATTATTCTGATTGATATTCATAATTGCTCTTCTCTCTCTGTTACATAATGGATGGAGGGTAACAAAATTCATGGATTGCCATCATTTAAGCTAATTAAACTTAATTACTCCTATGAGAAGAAAAGACCAAGAAAAATAAAACAACATTAAATAATTAAAGGTGTGTGTGAGCAGGACATCATCCTGTATTATCTGTACAATTGGGTTATATGGTTTATCATAGTGTACATGGTAGGTTTAAACCTTTTAAGTGGTAGATGTGGCAGTTGACTTTTCAAGTGTCTCTTTGATCCTATCAAACCTATGGGGATGAGCATGAACATGGTTTTAATGCTTTTCACTGCTTTTTATGTGTGACTTATGCTTGTTCTATGACATGTTTAGCCTGCTAAACTTAGATATCATCTTTATGTAGCGAAGTTGTAGCCTATCATCAGAAGCCTGGAGCTAGCTTGATCTTTTGGTTAGCAGTTTCTGAGGTTTAAACTTCAAGTCCAAAGAATTTCTCTGTAATCTTCAAAGCAAAAGAAATAAGAGAAAGATGAATGATAAACAGCGATCTATTCTCCTCGACATCTCATCTCGCTTCTCGCCTCCACAAGGCGTGAAGCTATCATACGGAACATCGGGGTTCAGAGCCGATGCATCATTGCTAGAATCAGCGGTGTATAGAGTTGGATTATTGGCAGCGCTGAGATCACTCAAAACCAGGGCAGTCATTGGACTTATGATCACCGCATCACACAATGAAATTTCCGATAATGGAATCAAAGTAGCAGACCCCAGTGGTGGAATGTTGACTCAGGATTGGGAACCATTTGCTGAGTCACTTGCCAATGCACCTGATTCCTATACCCTGGTTGAGGTGATGTCTCATTTGAGCTGGTTATTCTCTTTATTTATGCACTTCCTTAATTCTTAGGAGAATTGGGGAAACGTCATGTTTTGCTGCCTATCTAATGAATAAGAAAGAAGTGATTGTGTTGTTCATTTATTTACTAAATTCAGTAAATGCATGCGAAAAGGTGTAAAATGTAGCACTAACAAGCTAAGGTTCATTTTGTCAAATTCGTTAATATATGCCTCTAGAATATGTAGTTCAAAAGTTGTAATTGATTGGCAATCCACCATGTTCTCTTTTTTTTTTTGGTAATTTCTTTCTGCTATCCATCTGGACCTGATTTTGGCAAAATTCGTTGATTTAATTCCTTTCTCAGTCTAGTTTGTATGGACAGTATAGGTACTTTTTGGATTATGATTAGACCTTAGGTTTGGGTAGGGAAAGAATCTGTGGTATGTAATGGTGCTTATTATGGTGTGTTTGTAGCTGGTATAAGAGATTTAGACTAACAGCAGCGTTTATCACACATCTTAAATCAACATACGCTACTAGTTTAAAACTTATTCTGCACCTAGTTGCCATGCGCTATTATATTTATATTTGAGTTAGGTGTCATCTCAGGTTTTTTTGTTTCAGTCATAATTTTACTTATTATCAGGTACAAAAGATGAGCATTTACATTTTCTTTGAAACAGATTTTAGATGATTTTGTTAAGAAGGAAAAAATTGCACTTGATGGAGAATGGGCAGCAGAGGTTTTCTTGGGAAGAGATACAAGGCCTAGTGGAGTGTCTCTCCTTGAAGCTGCAAAACAAGTACTGACTCCCCTTTAACATAATGAAATTATTTTCAGCATTTACAAGTTCATAGGCATATAAAATATAAGTTGCCTGTAAATGTGTTAAACTTTGGTGATTGCAGACAAGCACACCTTACTTCGGCGTTTAACTCTTTTTGTCTTAGTAATTGTTGGATGATTACTTCAAAGGACTGACATTAATATCAGGGGTTGCTTCTATTGTCAAAGCCAATGCCAAGGACATGGGAGTTCTAACAACACCACAACTGCATTGGATGGTTCGTGCTAGAAACAAGGGCCTGGAAGCATCTGAGCATAATTACTTTGACCAGCTTTCAAGCTCTTTCAGGTTATTTCTGTGTGTATAACTTTCTTATGTTGTCTTTTGTCTGTTGCTTCAATCTAAAATACTTCTCTCTGAAATACTTTTACTTTTTATATTTCTGAAGATGTTCATCTTCCGCATCTGTCTAGGTGCTTGCTGGAATTGATCCCTCAAGGCAGTAGAATCGTTGGTACTAATGACAAACTGATTGTGGATGGAGCAGATGGTATTGGTGCAGAAAAACTTGAAAGTCTGAAAGGGCTGTTAAATGGCTTGTGTGTAGAAGTTCGTAATTCTGGTAATGGTGTACTTAATGAAGGTGTTGGTGCTGACTATGT